ATATATATATATATATATATCTGTATATATATATATATATATATATATATATATATATATATATATATATATATATATATATATATATATATATATATATATATAAAAGAATGAAAATAGAAGTGGTAGCCACGACTTGGTTTGGTTTGTTGGTTGACAGTTGACATAGGAGAATGTCGTAGAGGAATAAGCTTCCACTTGTGCTACATTATTATGGCTTATGGTGCACGTAAAAGCTTTTATAAACAGATTATAAGTTTTTAGCTGGTTGCAAAATAAATTTTTGCTTTACTTCTCTAAAAATAAGTATTTTTAAGCTATAATTTGTACTGAGGCGGAGTTTGAAAAAACTTATTTAAAAGTAGATGTTATGGATTGTGAGTTAAGTTATTTTTAAATGTTTATTTTTAAAAGTTTGGAGTGTTTACAAATTTACTAAAAAAACAACTCAAATAGAAAAAACAGGGTCACGAGTACTTAACAAATTATAGTTTAAAGATGATTATTTTAAGAGAAGCAAAATTTGTTTTTGTAAACACCTAAAAACAGATTATGTGAGAAAAAAGGCTCATAATCTATTTCTAAAAGCTTTTGCAAACACCACCGAAGACATCGATGAACCATGTTTTTCTATTTAAGTTGGTTTTTCAGCAGATTGGCAATAACTCTCGATTTACAGAAATAAGTACTTATAATCAACTTAACTCATAATATATAACTTTTGCTTTTAAATAAGAATTTTGCAAACATGCACCACCTATGTTATTATTATAATATAAAAGAATAATATAGTTTCAATAATAATTATGGTTGGTAGGGGGAAGGCCAATCATGCATGTAAGTTGTGAAAGTCTTCTCTCAACAAAATATAGAATCAATAATATATGTAGGTTAAGTACGTGCTATATATATTGTTAAAAGCTATGGTTGGTACGTACATGTTGCACCCCTCTTGAAACATCCTCATAATTATAGACTTCATTTTTCAAGTATTTTTTTAGGACTTTAAACCAAACTATTTTTTTTCAATTTGGATTAAGTTTTTTGGGTTTTAGCAATCAATGTTTAGTCAATTTTCACTAGTTTAAACTTTGACAGCACATAACTAATAAGCAATAACAAAACAATAAAATTTGATATTATGTTACAATTCAGTAGAGAACAAAATGTAATTACATATGATTATACAACATTGATACAAAGATTAAATTATTTAACCTAAAAAACATAAAAGAATTATTCATACATGAATATATGCATTTTGTTAACTATATATATGGTTAAGAATTTTCAAAGAATCAAATATAAAATCGCATGTTTAATTTAAGGCTTAAATTCGCCAAAATTTGACACCGTTCATCAGAAAATTTAGCTAATAAGTTTTTCGAGTTTCATCCTTTCACTTTAAAAAAACCTTTGCATCAGTTAAAGAGTATGGAGTCAAGGGTAATATTCACTACATGCTTAAGAGACTAGTATTTGGGTGGGTGGGCTTAACATTGACGGGGGTTCGGGGGCAGCGCCCCCGATTTTTTTTTTATTCATTAACATAAAATAGCATAAAATAACCACAAATTATAAACTTCAACAAATATAACATAAATTTTTTTGATGGATAAGCTAAACTAAATTACTTGGGTGGGCTAAATTAAACTATTTGGGGGGCTAATTATATATAGATATAATA